GCGCCCGGCGAGGCCGCCGCGGGCACGGCCGCCTACTCCCCGGCCCGGCTCGCCGGCATCTACGCGCTCGTGGCCTGGGCGAGCGCGCTGACCAACGGCATCCTGCCGTCCGTGCAGGCCTACTCCTGCCTGCCCTACGGCAGCGCGGCCTACCACCTCTCGGCCACGCTCGGCGCCGTGGCCAACCCCCTGGCCTGCACCGTCGCCATGTTCCTGCCCGGCAGGTACGACCCGGGGCCCCGGCCGCTCGCTGCGCCGGTGCTGGGGGCCCTAGCTCCACACGCGGTGAGCGGAGCTGGGGCAGGCTGGCGGCGGGGTTTACGCCGTTGGAGGGCTTAATGCAAACCTGCTTGCTTGCCCTGGGACCGTGGGGGGTCGTCGGGCCCAGACGGCGCCGGTCACCCGTGGCGTGTCTCCTGCAGGTCTCTCGCCCTGCTCGGGGCCCTCTCGGTCGCCGGGACGGGATTCGGAGCCTACAACATGGCCATGGCGGTCATGAGCCCCTGCCCCCTCCTGCAGCGCTCGGCCTGGGGAGCTGCCCTCGTCGTAAGTAGTTGTGGCAGCGTCTCGTTGCCCGCCGCCTTCCCCCCTCCCTGGGGTGCCTCGTGCGTGCCCCCCAGTCTCCGACCCAGAGCCACAGGGATGCCCCTTCTGTGCCCGCAGGTCGCGTGCTGGGTGCTTTTCACAGGCACCCTGTCCTATGTGAAGGTGATGACCGGGGTGATCCTGCGGGGCCGCAGCCACGCTGCCCTGGTGTGGTACGGGGCGACAGAGCAGCTGGGGTCCCTCCTCGGGGCGCTTCTCATGTTCCCCCTCGTGAACGTCTACAGCTTCTTCCGCTCCGCCGACTACTGCAGCCTGCAGTGCCCAGCCTGAGCAGGGCCCTCGCTGGGCCGGGGCACCCTGAACCCGGGCGGGTGCAGCCCCCCGTCTCCTTGACCGGCGGTCCGTGGCGCAGGGCAAAGAAGATGCCAGCCCGGACCCCAGCCCCAGGGAGCACTGTGGGTCCAGCTGTGTGCCGGCTCCCCTCGAGCCGGGGGCGGTGGGAGCCCTCCCCGGGGCCGCGCAGCCGGCGCGGAGCAGGGGGGAGCCGCCGGACCCCTGCGTGCCCTCGTGCACTGCCGCCCGGTTGCACCAGATGGAGCCACAGGCTCGGCGAGAAGGCCCCGGCGGCTCCCAGCTGAGGCCGGGAGGGAGCGAAGAAGGGCCTAAGTCCCTTGGGGCGGTCATGCGCTTGGGGGTCTCCGCCTGTGGCAGCACCTCATTAAAGAGCTGGGCCCAGCCCTGAGCTCATGGCGTGTCTGAGCCCTGTCCCTGTCCCACGGACCGGGCTTGACCGCTGCTGCCCCATGTCCGGGGCGGACGGGGCAAGCGGTTCCTTCCCCCTCTTCCTGCACTGAAGGACACAAGATGCCCCCTCGCCCCAGTGGTGGACGCACCCGCTAACCCTTCTGGGAGCCAGGGCTGGGAGGGCAACCTTGTCCTGTGCGCAGTTGTTGCTCCCGCAACCCCCCACCCAGGCGGTCAGGCTGCCGGCTCCCAGGCTGGGGGCGTTTAGCACCGTCAGGGAGTGGGGTGTCAGCTGCATCTCCCATGCCGGCAATCACAGGCCGAGGCCAGCAGAAACCCTGGCCGCGGCCTGGGATGACCCAGCTACCGTGCGAACAGCAGGGCAGGCGGCAGGCTGCTGCTTGCGGGGGGCACCGGCCCCCACCCCCAGCACGGCCTAGAAGGAGCCTGGATCCACGGTGCAGCCAAGTGTGGACGCCGGCGTGTGCCTTGACTTGCCTGCCACGGTGCCCGGCGGCCCAGGAGGCAGCGAGGGATGGGGGCAGCTGGGAGATGCTGAGCTGGTCCAATGCCTCCCCCAGCACCCCCTCTGCCCGGGGGCCTGTGCGTGCAGGACAAGCATCTGCACACATGCACACGCGGGCACTCAGGTTGGCAAGCTGTAGGTCCCCTCCCTTGCAAAAACCAGGGATGTGGGGGTGGGGAGGCGGTGACTGGAGCCCCCACCTTGCTCATGGGCACCCTCCTGGCATAGGGGCCCTGGAAATCTTGCCCGGAGCCAGAGCCCCTTTGCCAAGTGAGGTGCCAGGCATGGCTGTCGCCCTGTGGCGTGACAGGCGGGGGTCCCGCGCGGGAGCGGTGCCAGCCCCAGGCCACCTGGCAGCCCAACTGTTCCTGGGCAGCACCGAGCACCCAGGGAGGCCTGGCTCCAGGGAGGGAGGGCACCAGCAGGAGCAGGGGACCCCTCCAGCCTGGCGGGGAGCAGGGGAGAGAGGGGGAGGATGGGACTGGCCTCGTGCCTCTCCCCATCCACGGGGCACTTGGCGGCTCAGAGGCACGCGGAGGTTGCTCTGGGGTCAGAGAGGAAGCTGGGGGGCAGCACTTGGGGCAGGGGGGCACATCTGAGCCTCACAGAGCAAGCCGGGGGCCCCAAAGCCACAGCCGGAGCCAGCTCACCCGGCAGCCTCGGGGCAATGGCCTGGCGCATGCAGTGGGGTGATGGTGCTGGACGCCCCCCTGCTTGGCTGCTGCCCCTCGGTGGGCTCCCCCAAACTCACGCACGCGTGCACACGTGCACACCCCCACCCTTCCCGGGGGCACGGCAGCCCTGTCTTTGTCCCCGGCTCTTTGTCTCGCAATCTGTTTCACCTCGGGGAGATGAGCGGCCGGGGGCTGCCAGACAGCCGGCTGCTTCACCTTAAAGACGCAGATCCGGGCGACTTTGAGGGGCTCCAACTGTTCCCGTGTTGCCCGCGGGGAGGATGCCGAGAGAATGGCTAATGGCAGGCAGCCCCGGCTCCCTCCCGAGCTCCCGGCGCGGGGCCGAGCCCAGGTCCGGAGCTGCCCTCCTGCTCCCCGGTGCGAGTGACCACATCCCCTGCCACAGGCCGCTGGGCAAGGAGGGGCAGCCTGGGCATTGCTGGGCCCTGGGTACCACTCAGAGGATGCCTCCTCGACTCTTGCCACAGCCTCACTGGAGCTGGGCCTTGCAATGGGCAGAGCCACGGGGCTAAGTGAGCACAGGGGAGGGGCTCACGATTGCAGGGATGGGGGGCCAGATACGCTGCTCGGTCTGCGGGGGCACGAGGCGCATTGCATTTTCTGGCCAGGTCTCAGTGATGCCCTTCTCTGAGGGGCTTTGCTGCTCGGCTGCTGGACTTTCCACCCAGCCCAGCTCCTCTGCCCTGGAGCTTCTCCAGGCTGGCCCCCGCCCAGCCCCACCGCGTAACCACTGTTATCTGCCCTAGGGCACAGTATATGCACACGCGTGTGTGCGCACATGGGCCTGAGTGACCTCCCCAAGCTGCACGGTCAGTCAGCCTGTGTCGGGGGCAGGCCAAGTTGGCAGCTCCGAGTCACACTTGTCCACGGGATGCCTGGACCCTTGTGGCCAGCGCTCCCCTCCACTGGCTCCGTCCCCCCCGTCGCAGCTGGAGCAGGGGCAGCTGCCTGCCTTGGGCAGGGGCAAGATGGTAGAATCGCCTGGCATGCTCCGGCACGTGCACACGCGTGCAGTAGTGTGCAGAGACGTGCAGCGATGTCTGCTGCAACACCCCACCCCTCCTATCCAGTGCCCCTCTGCCCCAGTGCCCAGCATCTCATGCTGACAATGCCTCGGCCTGCGCGGCAACGTCTGCATTGCTGGCGGGGTACCGGGGTGGTATAGGGGTAGCAGGATCGATGCCAGACAACGCCAGGGGTGCCAGCCCAGGCCACCCACCCACGTCACAGGGCCCTGAGCTCTCCATTGATCCCAGGCAGGGAGGGGCTGGGGCTACAGGGTGCTCTGGACCCCAGAGCTGGGAGGATTCAGCTCGGCACAGCTCGGAGGGGATCAGGACCCCCTGAGCCAGGGCGTTCATGCAATCAGCCCACACAGTTGCTCCCTGGCATGTTCCCCCCCATCACCCCCATGCTCCCAGGGACCGTCCTGTGCAGACAGATGGACCAGGAGACGGGGGAGGGGCCGGGCCTCTCCCAGCACCGCACAAAGGGGAAGGCGGGCGCGCTGCGGCCCAGGGACTTTGTGCTGCTCCTTATCGCACGGAGCAGACCCCAGCGCCTGTGCGCCCCCCCACCCTTCCCCAGCCTCGGCCACACAATAGCCAGGAGTCTGGGGGCTGCGAAGATGAATTGCCCGAGGAGCAGGCGTGTGGGCCTGGCGGCGGGGGAGAGGGATAATGAAGTGTGCGCGAGTTCATTGCATCCTCGGCTGGCGGCTCTCAAAGGGGCCGACAAAAGCGTGGCTTCCTCCAGGCCTGAGAGAGCTCCAGCTCGGGTCTGCGGAGGTGGCGGGAGCCTGGCGTGCAGCAAGAATCGTCCTCATGGGAGATGGAGGCAGCGGGGCCACGTCCACGCTTGGCCGGGGAAAGGCCAAGGTCAGGGCTGGTGGCTGGAGCTCTGGCCACCTTGGAGCGACTGAACCAGACAACTGGGGCTCTGCTCCTGTGCATCCCCACGTGCTCCCCTGGCTGTGTGTGGAGCCCGGCTCCGAGCAGCGTGGGGCACAGGGAGCCCTCTCCCCGCCATGGGCAGACCCAGGATTGAGGGCCAGGTGGAGATGAGACTGAGCTCCGGCATGGGGCGAAGCCGTGGCACTGCTTTCCCTGGTGCAGGGCTGCCCCGGGGCCCCCCTGCCCACAGGGCACTGCCAGGGCATCGAGCCCCAGGGTCTGCCTCCAACCTGGCCTGCCCTCCAGGGCCCGTCCCCCCACTCCGTGCACATGGAGGCAGCTGGTGCTGCGCCCATCCTGCTGGCCCCATCCTCCCCAGTGTAAACGGGACACTGTGCACCGTGCAGTCTGCCAGGCCAGGGCTCCTGGGGTGGCCATCTCCCGCCAGCTGCCCCTGCATTGCCGGGGCCCTCTCCCAGCCTTTCATGTGGGAGAAGGGGCTTCCTCGTCACACAGCCCAGCTCCAGCTCCAGCTCCAGCTCCAGCTGGTGGGATTTAGCGCGGAAGCGCAGCGCAGGCGGCACAGGGGCAGCTCTTAAATCAAGCCAGGAGCGGCCTGAGCATGCGGTGACAGCCAGGACCGGGCCAGGTGCATCCCAGGGAGGGGCCGGCAGCCCCAGATGGAGGTGCTAAGCACTGCCCAGCTGCAGGGCGGGGTCGGCCCCTCTGCGGGACCGGAGGCCTGTCGTGCTGTGGACACATCCTGTGCAAGCGCCCCGCCACAGCTCGCCCCGACCCGCTGCGGCCCCGCCACGCCAGCTCTGCTGACGTTCCTCCATCACGTCGGCCTCCTCCCTGCGCTCCAGCCTCAGGACCTGCACAGCGGGCTGGGGGGTGCAGGGCTGTCGGGCACCTCCCCAGGAGGCCGCAGTGCAAAGCCCCTGGGTCTCCTCTCCAGGGCTCTGTCCCATCAATGCCCCATGTCCCTGCGGCCGGCCCGCGTCCCCTGCCTGGATTCATCCTGCCCGTCTGTGCATGGTGCTGGCAGGCATCCCTGGGGACCGTGTGCTGACAGGTGCTGTGTTCGCAGGGGCCTCCATTTCACGCCTGTAGGCAAAGAAAGGGCAGGCGGTGCCGGGGCCATCCATCACCCGGGCGGGCAGGGGAGCAGAGACAGGCCCACGGGCATAAATCACCTGCCATCGGACAAGCCCCCAGGCCTCTGGGAGCAGAAGGCCCAGGTGAGCTGCACTTCCCACCGTGGGGGTGACATCCAGGCGACGGCATCAGGCCCAGCTCAGCGTCTCATCCACAAAGCCAGGTTGGCATTGGCAGGCTGGCAGCGGCTCCCCGCATTGCACCCCTCCTCCCAGCCTCATGCCTGCTGCTCCAAGCCCTGCCGGGCCACTGCTGCCCTCGGCAAGCCGCCCCATGGAGCGCGGGGCGGGGGCTGACAAGCGAGCTGTCAGGGGT